AATGTTTTCTGTGTTTTATTAGAATGCTTAGGTGAAGCTGGAGCATGGAGATTTAAAATGCCCAGCTTGGACCAGAACATGCTGAACTCAATCTCTCCCAATGCTCCCGGATTTAATCTCATTGCGTATAAAGTGACAATCCTTCTCAATATGTTTGGTTCGTTCATGAAAAATCGGATTAGCATTAATATGCAAGGCAGCGGTGTTTTCACAGAACAATCGCATAGGTTGCTTCAAAATAACTCCGAGATCAAGAAATAATGCCTTTAGCCATATCAACTCCTTTCTCGTCCAAGCCATTGCTCTATATCAGCTTCAGCAGAAGACATACTAACCACTTGTTGTTTCTTTGTCTTCCAAGAGATAGGAGATGCACCAAGTTGTATTAACCAGCCGGCCGTAGATCGTCGAGTCAATGGACAATCAGCATATGAGGAGTCACACCATGCTAAAATTTGGAGATCAGAATCGGACCGGAGCAAGATTCCTTGACTTGGGGTGCCTTTTAAATATCGAACGACCCGTAGTGCTGCTGTCCAATGATCTGCACAAGGAGCTTTCATGAATTGGGAGAAAACGTTCACGGAGTAAGCCAAGTCGGGTCGAGTGACGTTGATATAGATCAACTTCCCAACCAATCGTCGATATGGTTTGGGATCGGGTAGAAGAGAACCTTTCGCCAAGCCAAGTTGAAGATGTTGTTCAAGAGGAAATGCAGCAGGTTGTGCCTAGTAGTCTAGTTTCTCATAAGATATCAAGTGTATATTTTTTCTCGAGGAGTTCGCTCCGCCGCGCAAGATCCTCGAACCTACCATGACTCAAATATATACCTTCTGAATTTCTAGCTACCTCAATTCCCAAAAAAATATTTCAACACACCAAGGTCTTTCATGTGGAAGCATGTGCTGAGATATAATTTGAAAGCTTCGATTACTTCAACATTATTTCTCGTAATAACCAGATCATCCACATAAACAAGAACTCTTATTTCAGTCGCCGCTTTCTTGAACACAAAACCAAGATTGTTGAAACCCATATTTTTCCAAAGACGTCAAAAGGTTAGCAAACCAACATCTTGGCGCTTGCTTAAACCGTATAAAGACTTTCTTAAACGACATACCTTCCCATCCGTTTGCTTAGAGAAACCCGGAGGAAGCTTTATGTACACTTCTTCTTCCAAATCACCGTGTAGAAAAGCAATAAAGAACGTCCATCTGATGTACTTCCTAGTTTCGTACGGAGACCACGACAAGAAAAGAACGTAGTGTTGTCATTTCAACAACTGGAGCAACTGTCTCACCATAGTCAACACCCTCAACTTGTCTATTTCCCAAAACGTCTAATCTTGCTTTGAAACGTTCGATGGAGCCATCATCACGGTGTTTAATACGAAAGACCCATTGACAACCAATGGCCTTTTTCCCGTCAGGTAAGTCTTCAAGCGTCCACGTATTATTCAGTTCGCGAGAGGTAATTTCATTTCCAACTGCATCTTTCTAGTGAGCATCTTGCATCGCTTCAGAGAAATTTTTCGGTTCGCTTGCAATGGTGATAGCAGCCAAGAACACTTTGTGACTTGCAGAGAAGCGTTCGTTAGACAGCACATCAGATAGAGGATATAAACTAGTAGCTAGATCCAGTACACACAAGTGTAGTATCGTAGTCAGCGAGATACCCCGGTGGACGTTGTTGGCGAGCTTCTTTGCAAACAGCAATTGGAGCATTATCCATATCAAGGTCTACTTCAATTTCGAAGTCAACGTGTTCTTTTCCATTTTCAGAGTTACTTGTCACTCATCATCGTTAGAGCTGTCGTCCGCTGAAGATGCACTCAAAGTCGTCGTGTCTGCAACTGGAATTACAGTTGCCGGTGTATCTTCCACGAGAGACGGGTGAGAGACTAGAGTTTCACCGAGACAGGTTTGTGGTTGCAACGATGGATGCTCATCGACCAAACCAATGTCTTGTGTATCGTTCTTTTTGTATGGAAAAGTGTCTTCTCGGAAATAACGTCATGGGAGACACAATAAATTCCTTTTCTAAATCGAAGACTCTCCATCCTTTCTTCCCATGAGGATAACCCACAAATACACATTTGCGACTTCTGCTTGCAAATTTATCCCCATGATGGTCTTGATTATGAATATAACATACACAACCCACAACACAAACATGATCATAAGAAGGCTTAACTCCATACAAAATTTCTTAAGGAGTTTTACCTTGTAAATCACAGATGGTGTCCGATTGATGAGGTACGTTGCAGCTAGAGCACACTTTCCCCAAAATTTAATAGGCAAATGACCTTAAAAACGAATAGCTCTAGCAACATTCAGCAAATGACGGTGTTTACGTTCAACGCGGCCGTTTTGCTGCGGTGTTCCCACACACGAGGTCTCATGATGTATGCCGTGTTCCAAAAAATATGTCGTTAGTGATAAAAATTCACTTCCATTATCACTATGTAACGATCGAATTTGCTTTCCAAACTGTCCTTCTAGAAGAGAAAAAAAAATTG